TATTTGTCCACTATTTTTAGAGATTATTTATAGGAATACACACGCTAGGCATGTTTTACTTTTAAAGTAGGGTACTCTCCATTGTAAAGGATAACAGCACTGGTAAGGTAGTAGCGAAAGTGGCCACTTGCCTCATGTCCCTATTCTATTTCAGAACAAAACTATTTATTTTTTGAGCTTTTGCAAACTTTTAAATGAGCTATATTTGTCTGGTTGCGCTTTACTAGGCGTGTTTCTCTAAATGTGATTAATACAGATCATCTGTATCAATAGTCGTCTCCCTGATTGCCGAGTGACTCGAACGGGTGCAGGTGAGTCTCCTATTTCTCCTCGCGTGCAAGAGTAGCTCAGAGGGTTCTGCTCACTCTAAGGATTTGTTAAGTATCATATCTTTCTTCCCAGGTTTTTATGAAAAAATCTGATCATTCGATCGGTGGTCTCCCTGCTGTGCGACTGATATCACAAAGGCTCCAGTCGCTAACGGCTTTTGTTCATCGTTTGTCGTTCATACGCGTTATGTGCCCATTTTATCTTCTATAATTCGATTTGCAAAATAGCATCTTTGATTTTCGATCGATGACGTATGTTTAAAAGCTTCGAATCCCGTCCCTCACTCGCGTGATACAAGACACTCTTATCATCGTGTTTTGGACTGCCCATTTTACAATGTTGGGCGATTTTTCTTCCTGCTTACCTAACGACCAGGTTTCTGTCCTGCACATTAGAGCAGGGAGAATCTTGGAGTAGAAAAGGTGGGCATGGATAGACCTCACTACATTGTCGATACTCTTGAAAGCGCCTCTAGCCGCTCGCCTCCTCTTGATCAATTCTGGTGCTAAGTTGTGACGTAGCTGAAGCATTCGGAGATACTCATTGCATTTTTATGTTGTTCTTCACAGGGTGAATACGAAGTGGAAGAGTGAACTCAAGGAGACACAGAAATGCCAGATTGAGCAATTGCCATTCAAATGATATGGATGCAGCGTTCAGATCTTTTGTCAAGGATGGAAAAAGTGCAACGGTATTGTGAAATCAATACACTGGCGATCGAGGCGAACTTATCCGGGAGTTTTCAGGTGAAGTTACTCTGTAATATAATATAAAGTACGATGACAATAGTGTACAAGTGAGCAATATAAATAATATTAGAGTAGCTCTAAAAGATCTAGAATGTTCTCTACGAGGAAGAAGTTAGTCTCTATACACCTTAAATGTGAGGAAATAAATAAAAATAACCCCCAAGATTGACTTTCTGTTAATCTGGGCACTGAAAAATAATTTGCTGTCTTCTTGATAAGCAGGCACAATGTAGTTAATTTGCTGTTTATTCACAACTGATCATTCACCATTGACTTTGTTGCGGTTTCATCTCCTTCAGAGCTTGGGAAGGTCAACTGACACGTAATCTACTCAGTTAAACGCTTTCATAGCTAAGGCAGAAAATCACTAGCTAATTACCTTTCCTTTCACCTTTCGTGCACAGAAATGGCGCTTTGTGTGGAATATGTTTCGAACAACCATCGGTGTGTGCAGAGAAAGCGAGCTGAAGGAAAAATACTCCGAAATTATGCGCCAAATAGCCATTTCCAACGGCCACAAAACACCGTAGCTCCTAGGTTTAGAGGATGCACCGTCCTCCCAAACGACTCTTTCGCTAAGGAAAAAGACTAGTTTGTTTTACCGTAAATTTCCACTTTCACTTAAGATAGGTACAAAACTTTGTTTAGAAAGACGGGTCTATAGAATTTGATGGTAGTGATTGAAATACAACTAAACACTCTAAAATATCAGCTAGGTCGCAACCACTTACATGACTTCCCATGCATAACCAAAGCTGCACAATGTGAGCTAACAATAGAGACGATGATTGCACGAGCTCGGGTAAGGTGCGCTTGATTTCTAATAAATTATGTGTGGGCGAATACATTTGCTGGATTGGTAGAGCATTCTGCATCTATATGAAAATCACTTAATTGCGAAACTTGAAAGCCAGACAAAACACTTCACTAGGGCCCCATAGAGTGCAAGAACATAACGAAGATTTCAAAATAAAAGTCACAATCCTTGCACTGAAATCTTGAACATCATTGCACAAAGCTCTCGAGCCATTCTAGAGTGTCATAGGCCATTCGTTCCAACACTTTTTTAAGACTGGAAAGAAATGGTAACATCACGTTGTTCAAGTAATTTATCGGGTTGTTGTAATGTACAAGGAAATCGCTCTGAGATCTCTATCTCACATTCGTTACACCGAAAGCTGTGTTACCTGATGGAGTACTTCCACTGTGGCTTGAGTTAAAGTCGGTGCTCAGAAAATTAAATTTAGCGGTGAAGTAGATAAGAATATGTCACAAGAAAAAATAATTGTTGCAAGGACTAATGCATAGTGATTATAGATGGGTTATTTTCCAATAACCCTTAGTTGGGCGCGTGTGGCACAGTGATTAGAGGTACCCTCTAAAACACATGGATTCGATCATACGCCTGAGCTCAACGAGCCTTCCATCTTTCCGGGGTTGTCAAATTATTGCCAGACCTATTTAGGAGGATAGCTGCATTGGCTCGGTACATCGGTAGGCCACCGCAAGTTATTATAAAGGCCAGATATGCATTCAGTCATCCCCAACAATGCTTAATGAAGTCCAGTCCACGGCGAGTCCCTCAGGGATTGGTCAGCGGTGAGAGCTTTCTTCTCTTATTTATCCTTTTGTAGCTAGACCAATTGAAGCTTCTTGTTTCATTTTTTGTGAAACTGGGTAAAGCACGACTTAATTCTCTGTATCCCCCAATATATCATATGAACGGAACTTTTTTTTTTGCAAACTCTTCTTTCTCACGACGTTACATTATAAGATCTCGTTTGTTTAAAATCGAATAACATTAATAGAACTTTATTTCATGTAATAATTTTACTTATACGTCCTCAGAAAAAGCGCAAATGCTTGCGTCACGTTTCCAACTTGACACATATTTTGCTTGCCAAGAACGTTCTATTTCCCTCAGAAGAAGAGATATCTTAAATACATAATAAATAAATATCGCTTTTTGAGAGATATCTTAAGTACATAATAGCGGCCTCTAGGCATTGATAAAAACAGTAGCTACCTCAGAAATGTAATGAGGTGGTCAACCTTCGTCTTTCATGCCAATCACTTCGAGAGCCTTACCCATCTGTTTCCAAATGAGCTCAGGAAGCATGGACACATCCTTCCACTTGCTCCCCTTTCCAAAATCTGATATACTACCTCGCGGGTGAACAACCACACAGTAAGTAATTCAAGCATGTTATTTTTATTGAATTTCTGAAGAATCTGCCATCATTTTTCAACACATGAGCTTTCCTAGTCCGAAATTTTCTGTCATAACCTAAGTTTTTCGCGGTGTTAAGTGCCAGAAACATTATGGACCATAACTTGCACGACACCAACTATTATCGTTCTATTCTTTTGCTATATTTCATTCCCAGGCATGTTAATGAAGTCCTTTTAAACTGGAGTAACAAAGCATTATGCGGAATGCGATGGAGCCAAGAAAGATTAGAAGAGTGGTACATTTAGAAAGTTAGGTGTAAAAACACAAGAGCACAATATGCAGTTGTATTCCTGTTTCCTTGGTATAAATTTGGCCTGAAATTCATTGCAGACGGTAGTGTTCATAGAGACTTTTAACAGCAGGATTGTTATCAAAATCCAGATAAATTTTCTTTACATATAGACCCAAACAACACGAAGAGGCGTCGAGTTGTTTTTACACGCAGATCCTCCCTTTCGTTGCTTCTTTCTCTGTTACTCAAAGGTACAAGCAAGATTTCGCATTTAAACGAGCATTCTCTTAGAGTTCGTTTAAAAAAAACTTGGAATCTCTTTTTCAATATTGCCGGGAAGGTATTAAGTTGTATTGGGTGAAAAGTACCCTACAACACTCGTAGACGATGATTCTATCATGGTCCTAGTGCTAACCAAGCCTTTCTACCTACGTGATCAACTATTTCTGCAAGTAAGATGATGCTGAGATATTTGCAAAAATCCGGACCGCAGGTGTATGCGGTGGGGAACGAACGCGCAATTGTCCTTTCCTGGGAGTAACGCGTTCACCACCACAACATGCAGGTCCTTCGTTTCGCCTGTCTCTCAGCTAGTTCTATTTTATTGCTGCAAGTCTTGAGAAAAGTGCCTTCATGCCCACAAAACATAGCTATTGCATATGCAATAAAGACTTGCGTGCGTATGCTCCAGTTAAGGTAGCTTAGTATTCGTTGCAGAATAAAGTCGAAAGGTACTCATAAGTTATACTGAACACTCTGTTGGCAGCTCAACTCTGTTATTGCTAACGCGATCACTTTAGAGAGAACAGCATCGCAGAATCCGTCTGATTTCTGCCGAGCTAATCTTCTTAATCAAGTAAACCTCAACATATTTCAGTCGATACCTGGCGATGAACAAAGGCTCATCGCCGCTCTAAAAAAGACAAACGCGCTGAAAAACAAGATAAGAGCAAAACTTTTATAACAGCCCCGTTTTGGTTGAGTAATTTAAGAAAGTACTGACTATTCATGTAATGGGCAAAGAAAATTCGACTTTTGAAATATTAGTATGAAATCCAACAGCTGAAAGCAAGAATGTGAGATTAGAAAAAAGGTGGACGAATGTGCTATAAGTTAGACATCAAGCCGAACATTGAGACTGGTTCACAATTGTTGTTAGAGCTTAAAATGAGGTTGGAAGAGTTCCAAGAATCCTTTCAACCTTCGAGTTTTCAGGAACGTAATGACCGCAATGTGAAGAAAATTGCAGAATTGTAGGGGAAACAATGGTCAAACAGTGCATTCACTTCATCCTGTAGAGAAATACCTTTTCAACATTCTAGAATGTATAAAATGCTAACCAGAGAAGTCTGTTTTCTCACGGTTTTAGAAGAATATCGATTTGAATACATATTTTATCAAATTGTACAGGATGGCAACACGGGCGAGGAAATAACGATAATGAGGTGATGTGCAGCTACTGACAGCAGTACGCAAAAAATGCACCCTGATGACATTCAGCTCCTTCTGGACAGAATTGATGCTCACATGTTTTGCCAAACAGAGTCATCTGAAGAAAGCTTCAAAGTCTTAGAACAATGGTTATCGGAAAATGAAGTGCAGCAGAAATACAGAAACAAACTAGCCGAAAATTCCACAGAAATGTCTTTGACGACCTTCCTACGACCACAGTCCGGTTTACTATTAGCCAGATATTTTTCTAAAATCATTCTCGAAAGTTTTCACAATTTCGTCTACTTCATATGTCACATTTTTATTCAGGACTAAACTATTTTTCAGGTGCTTGCGAAACACTCGAACGAATTGAATCACGTGTGTGATATCTGGTTGCATTTTCACTATACACATCATCATAGATATCGTCCAAACACATCGCAAGTTCAAAATTTCACTTACCGTACTCCTTATCATCACAGCACAGCCCGATGACAAAACCCTTTATGCATGTTGAACCTTTAGGACAATTTGCCTTGTTGTTACACAAATAACTACCGTCCGCTCTTTTCACAGGTGGTGAATTCGCAGCACAGTTATGGTAATCCACTAAACTCAGTAGTCTTATGATTAATAGCAGGACGAAGCAAAGCGATAACTTTTTAGCAGCACTTACTCGGAATACAGTTTCTAGTGCAGCTGAAACTCTCCTTGAAGTTATTCGCATTTCCACCACATCCTGTGTATTTGAATGGTAGGCATGTCAACGTTTCTCTATCGAAGTGGTACTGAATTGGAGAAGATTATAACTATTCAATGACGACCAATACAACGTAGGATAGAGAGTTTCTATGAACGTTTAGTAATCTTGATTACTAGTTATGGCAGCAATTTTGCCATAGAATAACACAACTTTCACGTAATTCCCAAAACCGATTTTCTCTCAACCTCGGCATTGGTCAATAATTCGATGTTTTCTCGGTGACCGCATGTGAGATTGTTATAACAAACCATTTATTCCCTCCTAACGGTTTACCGCCTCATCGTGGCTGTGAGGTGTTCCTGGGTGTTGCACTGCGATCTATAGCGGGAGATTCATCCCCTGGCAGGGTCTCCAAAGCGAAGAAGGAGTTCGACGTTTCCATCATGAAACCCAGCTAAGAGTAAATCAATACCAGGATCCACCACCGTCCTGGTATGAAAATCGCATAGTTGAAATCTCCCTCTGATCCGCATGGGCTGCGACTCCTTGTGGTGGTGAAGACCTGGGGCAGATTTTGGCCATACTGACCTCGGGATTCCAGGGACCACAATGGCTTAACCAGCAAATCTCCGAAAAATGGAGATTATGCTGGGACACGCACAACCACTGAAGGCAGGCCATTCAAGTGTCAAGTATCGAGCATAAGGTATCAAGTACTATTTATTCACAACAGTTAATAATTCAGTGGGTTTCGCCTTGTTCGGACCCTGGACAGGTCAAGTTGAGTGCAATCTTGCTAGCCAAATACTTCCACAACTCCAGCGGAAAACCACGATACCTAGATTTGGGTCGCTTCGAAAACGAAAGTTTCTTCACACACTAACCATTTTCTATGGATCCTCTCAATGAGCATTCCACGTGGAGACCAACTACACGGAATAGATAGATAATGAATCACTCTCATGTTGAAATATCAGTTATAGATGTTGTAAGCGATGACGCGTGATAACGAGGCACTCGTTCTTGCGGTGCATTCTTGGATTTTAGCAATTTATCGAAAATTGCTTGTGGGTTTTATGCGCTGAAGTTTTAGATTCCTGTCCGAAGGCGGCGACCTCTACTGCAAAATCCTCTCCGTTGTGTCTCTGTGTCTCATGCTGGCCTACTGGAGTAGTCGGCTGGACTTTAATTTTACCAGGAGACGGGTAGCCCATTAACAGCGATGTCGATCTTCAGGAGCACGATGGCGGCCTGATGCCGCCCAGACTGACCAAGCCTCTTATACTTTTGAGGTCAGGAGACTGGTACCAGCCTTTTGTGTGAAAAGCTTGCTCTTTGCAATCCAAGTGGGGACGCTCTAGCTCAGCTATTTTAGGTCTCCAAAAATAATTTACTCGATCATTGTTTAAAGACACTCATGACAGAAGAAAAGTTTTCAAGCAGCAGCCTAACCTGCATGCAAAAGCTTGGAAGACCGTCGTGGATGATGGATGTCAGAAAAGAGTTGAATGCAAGAAGTGCTTGAATCCTAATAGATGTGAAAGAAAGGTCGTGAGGAAAAAAAATAACTTCACCAACTTCGTTTTTCGTACAGACATAGAGTGGTCCACCCGTTTCGCCAACATAAGCTCCACAAGATTAACGAGAAATTAAGTACACCGTACTCGAATACTCGAACCCATGCATTTACCGCTCCTACCGTTAGGGGATGTTACACAACTTTGCATTATGCACAGACATTCATACAAGCGCTTCCTAACTAAACCAGTATGCCCTTGTTGTTTAGCTACTCGTGGAAAATTGTCACAATCACAAAATATGACTGGAAAAAAACTTTACTCAAAAATCACTAAAAGTGTCCAGATTTCTTTCAAACCCTTGACCCATTTGTTCCGTTGGTATTTGTATTACAAAATGATTGTTTTCCATAAGCCACACCACATATTGTACGGAACTCAAGACTTCGTTTATTCGATCCGTTTCTTCGCATCCGTATTTAATGAAGCTCTTCGAGCGTTTAAGTTTGAGTTCAACTAGTTCTTGAAAATCTTCCGCGTGAAAGTCACTGAATGCTGGTCTACTCGATTTTCTTTGGAATCCTGGGATAGCCGTGCTAGGGCGTTCGCTTGAACAGTAGTCAGCTTTTATGAATCAGAACGAGCGTGTTGACCTCAGATAGATTTAATAGATTCCAGGGACACCGGAGATATGGAAGGGGTTGCATGGTCTAGTGGAGTGTTGAACCATGGCCGTGAACACTTTGAACCGAATCAAATCCACAGTGATTTTCTTCGTATTTTTGTTGAGCAAACGCGAGGTGTTACTATTCTTTGTTCACGATTAAGCTGACGTTTCGGCGGATTTCGCCTTCTTCAGAGCCGCTTTCTATGAGGTTTCCACTAAGTATGTCACGTAGAGACCAACCGCACAGAAATCACGTGGAAGTATAATGT